CCTCACCAATGGCCGAATTTTTGAGAGCCAATATCCCTCTCCACAAGGTTCCCCACTCAAAACAAAGCTTGGATTATGAAAGAGGGCGAGATTCTAAGCGATTTAGGCTTTTGAATCATCCAAAACCATCAAGGTTTGATCTCTCTCTCTCTCTTTCCCTTTTCTTCTTCCCTCTCTTCTCCCTCTCTTCTCTTCTCCTTCTTTTCTGTTTCTCGACGGGCTTCTGGGAAAAATGGGGGCATTTGGTGACTTAAGTCACTTAACATAGGTTAAGTGGCTCTAAGCGGGTATTGGTTCGTCTATCTATTTAACTCCAATAATTACCAAACTTTACCCAAAAGTCTGGAATATTATTCTAGGAATATTACTATTTTTATTTTTATATTTTGGGTACTTTTGACAGTACCCATTTATACCCCTTAATTTTCACTGAGTACACTTTTTAACTCCAAAGTGACTCAGATTCATTTTATTAAGCCTCATACTTAATTTCACCCAGTAAAACATGTTTAATTAATTAATTACACTTGATTTCCTAATTAATTAATATGGGCTATTATATAATGCATACTTGTTATATTCTCTGGTCAGTAAGATTATATTATTGCACACTGCATTGTCATACATATTCTGGTGCATGCATGGATTTTTATACTGTGTTTATACCAGAAGTGAGCTTAGAGGTGGAGGAACCCTCCAAGGGTCCCTAGCTTACTGAGATAATTATATTATCTCACCTCGCGTTATGGGATCACCATTTCAGGTACAGGAGCTGATGGTGTTGAGGCATCGCGTGGCAAGAGGCCAGATGAGAGATACTACTTGACATGATTGTCAGGGTCTTGTGGATATTTAGATTTGTATCTGACATACTTTATTCTGAGTTGTATATTCCATGTATTTTTTTGAGAGCATAGGAGATGTCTATGCCATGTCGATAGTCTGTATATGCTGTTAGTGATACATGCTCAGGTCTATGTTACTTATTTAATTGCATCTCTTTTATTTATTTGATGTAATTATATAAGTAACATCATTGACTTTATTTTGAGATAGTATGATTATGAGATAGCTAGGTCATGGATGACTGGGCAATATGTTTTATCTATGCTGTGGTATGCCTAGATTATATTAAACAGTCAATCAGGTTGAAATTATCATAGTGGAAATTATTCTCAGTGGTCCAAAATATATACGAAATCTGTTTTATTTTGGCCTTGGAAGTGAAAAAGTTGGAAATACATAAGGAAAAAGAAAAAAATTTATTTAGTTAGCTTCCGCATTAATTAAGTTGAGCATTTTGCGCTTACTATCATATGAATGTTAATTAACTGGATGCAGACGGGACGTTACACTTTATCACCATTGATCCATCTTTGTACAGTTATGATTTAGTGACTAGATAAAATCTCATATTCAGTAACATGACACTCATCAAACCAATATATATATATATATATATATATATATATATATATATATATATATATATATATATAGGGCTTATCGTTTCTCAAGCTGCTTGAGATAATCTTATCTCCGGCTACTAAATCATAATCATACAAAAATGGATCAATGGTGATAAAGGAAAAGAGAAAATAAAGAAATTATAACCATTCAAAGGTGAATCAATTGATATAAGGAAATAAATAAATAAAACGACGTAGTTTTGGAGTAGCCGGAGATAAACTTATCTCAAACTGCTTGAGAAATATTTTTCTCATATATATATATATATATATATATATATATATATATATATATATATATATAGGGCTTATCGCTTCTCAAGCTGCTTGAAATTTTTTTATCTCTGCCTACTAAATCATAACCGTACAAAAATATATCAATGATGATAAAGGAAGAGAGAGAAAACGGAAATCATAACCATTCAAAAATGAATCAATTAATATAAGGAAATAAATAAACAAAACGACGTAATTTTATAATAAACAGAGATAAATATATCTTAAGCAGCTTGAGAAATATTTTTCTCATATATATAAACAGTAACGAGATTCTACCCAAGTATAATAGAGGAGAAGTGTGCCTAATATTTATTTTCTAATTACTAGTTATAATATAGGGTAATTTCTATATGTATAAAAATTAGACGATCTAATCATGTGAAATTTTTTTATATATCTCTTTTTTCATTAATAATAATTGAACTTCATCAATTTAATGTATAAGAAGACAGATAGATATAAAAATTTTACATATAAAATTTCTATTTTTTTTTTCTAAAAGGAACGAAATTCAACGAATTTTGGGGTGGAATTGTATTCATTCACCCGAACAAGTCAGAAAAAATAATTATCCACGAATGATATTCTGTTCTCTTCCCCAAGAAGAAAAAGAATAGCAATAATTGCATGTTTGTGATCTTATCCTTGCTCATAATAAATTAAAAAGCAATACAAATGTGGGTGTCCACTGTCCACATCCACCCACGTGGACCATTACTCAAGGACATAGACAGTAATAGGAAGCCAATAGATATTTCCCACAGAATATCCCAAACTTTATAGAGTATATCCAATTGACTCGGTCACGTTCCTTCCTGTGTGCCACCGCTTCCAAGGTGCCACAAAAGCTACCAGTTTCTAACATGTTAATAATACATTACACACACTTTCTTAAATCCTCAAGCCCCATTTATTACCCTTTCCAGTTCCTATATAAATCAATCTTGTTTACCTTATTTTAAAAACAGAAACCTTAACAAACAAAAAAAGAACAAAGGCTTTTTACGTCATTAGTACTTTCTGAGTGCTGAGAAAAATGTCTGCCATGGTAGAGGTATGGGTTGGGGAGCTGACAAAGCTCAGAGAAAAGGTTCTTGCAAGCAAGTCCTTCTTATCAAAAGGAAAAGCTGAGGCCAAAGAAGGATCACAAGTAGAAGTAAAGGAAGCACAAAAGGAAAACATGGTTGTTCAAACAGACAATACAACGATGTCAGAGGCAACGGTGTGTTTGCTTATGGATCGGTTTGTGCCTTGGTGATATGTTTCTTATGTGTTCATGCTGACATCAAAGAAAACCCATGGTTGTCCAAGATGTGTTGTGTATTCTATGTACAATGTCCTTAGTCCGTGAAATGTTGTTATATATCATGTATTGTACAAATTAAGAGGTTGGTTAATTTAGTTGCTCTTTTTGAAGGCTATGTGTTAAACTTGTATGGGTCCTTCCAAGTTATTGAACCCACCCTTTTCCCATATATATATATATATAAGTGAAATGATTCTTGATATGCATAAAACTCAAAATTTTATTTTACTTAATTATTGTCCAGTTTGATACACACCCAATGCAATATCATGCAGAGATGAACCTAAAAGGTTTTGGTTTCCTATAGGGGTAAATAACCTCTTAGTCAATTGTATATTCACTTGTGAGATTTGCCAAAGGAAATACGCCAATACGGCACATTCTATGTTCCAGGTCATCCACACAGTACGAATTCTCATGTATCTCTTTTTTTTTTTTTTTTTTTTGGTATTTGTTCGTGTTATCATTCGAGTCTGTGAGACTAATTTTTCAAATTGAGGTAATAGGTAAATAAATATTTTTCAATGTGATGGCTTTAAAATTTAAATTCCTGTCATTATACTTGGAATTGTAACCATTGTTGTGTTTAAGGAAAATCATAATACTTGTATACAAATTTATTATTGTACTATGAGTTTAAAAATGTGGATAATTAAAAGGTCGTATTTTAATTGTCTTTCTGTTCATGCGCGAGCACATGAACGTGCTTTGGTTAAATTGTCATTGCCTTTCTTGTTTACAACTACGGGTGAGTTTGGATGGTTTTTTTTCTTTCTCAAAAAGCTGTTTTTTTTTTAAAAAAAAAAACACTTTTCAATTTAAGTTCATTTAGATATTTTTTTTTAAAAAGTAGAAGTCATAAAAAAAAAGTCAATTTTTTTTTTTTTTAAAACTAAATTTTTTAACTTGAAGGCGAAACAAAAGGGCTCTAACCGGATAAGAATCCTAGTGAAGTCCTATATTATTTATAAATGTTCAAAGTAAGAAAGATATAAGTAGAAGAACTCATTAATTTATTGCTTTAAAATTTTAGGTTTTTGATTGAGATATGTGTTCGAACTCATTCATATGATGATAAATCTCTTTCTACGATGTGCTCTCTTTGACCCAACAAGAAGTGAATCAATGGATCTTCTATAAATTTAGAACTTTTTTTTTTTATGCGCAACAAGATATTAGTAATAAAGTGCTCTCTCAAGTCACTAGGATTGATTTAGTGGTGAAATTTTTTGATAAATTATATTAGGTTATATGTTTAATTTTTATTTGTATATAAAAAAAAGAAAAGTGTTCTCTCGTCTCTTATATTTGTCAATCCTAATAAAATATCAGGGTCACTTTGTCGTAAAAGACTATTGGTCAGTTTGTGAAAAGGGACTATTGGCAAGTTTGTATCATAACGAAGGAAAAGAAAGAAGGGTTTTGGTTTTATCCTTTAACATAACACAACAAACTTTTTTACACTCACAACATTTTGTGAGGCCCACACTTTTTAAAACAAAAAAATAAATGAAAAATTAAGACATACAAAACGAATCTCTATAACATTACACAATCATTTTTCTTACAGCATAACTCTTATAAAACCCAAGAAAGAAACAGCCTTTTGTACTATGGATATTCTTACAAAAAAGTGAACTTCAACTTCAGCTCAAGAAAAAAAAAATTGTATAGATATATCTTCCATAATCCATATATGTGAAAGATAATTTTTTTTAATATAAGAAACACTGTTTTCTATGCTACGCATCTTTATATGTTTTGTGCAGAGTACATGCATTTTATAATATAACAGTTATGTTTTAAGAAAAGTGATTGTGTAATATTATAGAGATTTATTTTGCGTGCCGTAATTTTTCTTTTTTCTTAAAAAAGTGTGGACCACACAAAATATTGTGTGTATAGAAAACTTTGTTGTGTCATGTTAAATGACAAATGCAAACCCTTTTTATATATACACAAAATTTGTTGACTGACAAAAGGAAGAAGCTCTACTCTAATCCTAACTTCATGAATTTATGATCAAAACTCTTTGAATCCTCTCATGACCCTACTTTCATACATCAATTTGTCTAAGCTGTTTGTAGAACTTTGTTTGTACAGAAACAGTCCTTGTAAGATTATTTTGGAGGAAAAATCATGATGAGTTTGTCTCCTCAATGGTTGTAGAAGTTATCTCAAATTTCCCATTTTTGAAAGAGGGATCCCATTTTTCCCACCCCATAACCTCTCTGGCATATCTAAGCCCTTCATCAACAGTATCAGGTTCCAACCCAGAAACCAGTGAAACAAACAGCTTTTGACCAGTAAGAGAATGGAACAATCTCTTAAACTTCATAGCAATATATTGAAAAGCATATTGAGCTAATGGAGTGTGATTGCGATTGTAGCTGATAACTGGATGGAAGTCACAGAACCATTCACATTGTGTTAGAGGTACCCTTTCAATCTTTTCCTCTAGCAGATCGAGTTTGGTCAGTATCAAAAGGAATTTCTTGTTATTGAAAACTGTACGAGTAATGATGTTTTCAAAGAGATGCTTGGCTGCTAAAATTTTGTTGGTAGCAACTCCATTACTGTCCACAGTGTACTCATCATAGTCAGTTAAGGCCACAGTGAATAAGACTAAATCAGTGTCTTCAAACATGTCCAACAACTTGCTGTTTTCTCCAAGGCTTTTTGGATGTACTCTGATGAGTTGGTATCTATAAGCACAACATAAAGGTGTGGTAACAAAGAAATCAACAACTGATAGCAATTGTTTTCATCCATTATAATGTCTATGCTTTGAGTAACATTAGCTAGCTTTTGGTTTGGAACTAGAAAAAGCATCAGTGCATTACCAAAAAGCTGAAGATTATTAGATTTGAGTTTCATTAAAGCTGACCTTAGAGAAGGATCATGTTGATAGTCAGGGTCCATGGAGTCCTCATGACCTGACAAGGGAAACGAAAATTCCATTGAAATAAGGCTGTTGGATAAGGATATTCCTTCAGCATACGTGATGTCCATGTCCAAAGGTTCATAGTCTCCCTTGGAAATCTCAACAGCCTGCATTCAGAATAACATTTAGATATTGATGAATAGCTAGTGTTTGTTGATGACTTGACGTGATGCACCTGCCATATTCATGGCCAAATATTTTCACAACCTAAAGAATTTAGTCACATCTTGTTTGAACTAATTAACAAGTTGTTATTGGAAAATCACAAATATAATCAATATAAGGGATTTTCTTTCTCTGCCTATATTTACATAATCTCAACAGAAAATTCCCACTGAAATGATATAGGTAATTCTGTGCCTTAATGAAACTACGTGTCCAAACAGGGATTAAAAGAGAAAGGGCAAGTAGGCTTATCTCTAAAGCAAACAAATAAAGGTATGCCTCTTTTTATTTAATTTAAAAGTATATCGTGATCCTAATCAACTAAAATTTTTGGTAGATGCACCCTTACTTGTTCACTTTGGATAACTTTTAATTGATTAACCAAGTTAAATGAAGTGTAGGTATATCATTACTTATTCGCTTGGAATGTTGAATAATAAACTTGATCCATTGGGCTTAGTTGTTAAAAAGCTCAATATCTAGAAATATCCGAGAGATGTTTAGCCAAATTCTAGAATAATCCAATCTAGAGTTTAGATTATTCTATGGAAATATTTAGAGAATAGTTGTACCTAGAAACAACCATCATTAATGTCTATGCTAGGAGATTGTGGAAAATTCTAGAGAATGATTTGTAACCCTTAGATACAATTATGTTGATACAATTCTAGTTGTTGGTTAAGGAGGTGCCGCTAATATAAATAGGTGTGTTTCTACCATTTTGTATCAAGCCAAAAGAAAAAGAGTTGAGTAAAAATAAAATGTTTTTTTCATCCAAATCTTTCTAAATTTTTCTTTTTCTAAAATATCCTCCTCCCAACATGGAAGAGTTTTTTCAAAAGAGAGAAAAGAAAAGACAGAGATCAACCCTTATTAATAGTTACATTGTGTCCAATGAGTTATCCATGCAAACTCTATACAAAACAGAATGAATATTGAAAAATGGCATGAAAATAGAAATTGAACAAATTCAGAAAAATAATTTAAAGCTGCATTAAACACTAATGAGTGGAATCAGTTAGTTGAGTGCCAATGATCACAATAATCATGTTAGGAAGAATAAATGAACAGCCAAACATTATCTTACCCGCTCTAGAAAATAACTTGCAGTTCTAGGTAGCATTTTTATTTCATTTCTCCTTTCATATGTGGCCTGAATGGCTGCATCCCTCCACATCTCCTCTACCAGTGGTGCATATTCACGAGTAGCAGCTGGAAATATTGCGTCCAAGTTACCTGACACCATATATGTGAGTAGCCAATCTGAGAAAGCTTTCAATCTTGGGCCAATGGAATAGATTGTTTTGTCAATATTCTCCCCAGTGTTCCCTGTTGTAAACTAAAAATTAGTAACTTCAATTACCAACTAATGCCATTTCATAGAAGCAATGTGTGAAAAATAATCGCATAAACAAAGGTAGAAAGATTTTTACTAGAATAAAAATCACAATATAAATAGACCCTCAACAAAGTTATGACATTGATGCAGTCACTAGTCAGAAGCATCACTCATTGTTGAATGTGTGTTATTAAATGCTAACTCATGGCATATATACACTATAGAGAGTAACTAACCACTAACTAATCAAGTTGATCAAGAAAAAAAAATGCAAAGGAAAAGTGTTTAAAAGAAATGCTGCCAAATACTTCATTCAAATTGGTTAACTTTCCAAGGAAAAAAATTACCAGATGAAGTTGATTCATCAACATGCAGTCCGTTGCTGTTCTTGTACAAACTCTCTTCAAATATTTCTCTCGCCTCAAGCAATATACCAAGGTACCTATACAAGTTGCTCTGGATTACCAACTTGATATTTTCACGCTCAATTTCTGAGAAAGGAACATTATACAGTTGCTTGGCCTACAATCAAAGATTCATCATTCTTTTAGTGTTACTTAAAATCAAATGCTTTAGCTTAAAAACTGTAATGATTTCTTCAGATGTCAGTGATATATACACCAGAAAAGGAAGGGGGGGGGGGGGGGGAATCCACACTTCGACAGCATATAATTTATATCTAGAAGCAATTTATAAGATACAGATTAAGCACTGCCAATGGACCTACTGAAAACTAGCCATGTGACTGACAACAATCAAGCATTGAAATGTTTATAGAGATTAGAGAGTATTTTAATACTATCATCTGCTTTATTTAAGGCTAGCTATGAACATCATGTACAAATGAGTTTTGCAGTAATGAAAGATTGGAATAGTTTTCAACATTAAAAATTGCAGCATAAATCAAGTGAACTAATTGGCATCACAAGTTCTTTGGCTGGCCATTAAGTGCATGAAAAAAATATTTCCCTCTAGCAACATCCTACCTGTTTAAATATAGTACATGTTCCAGATTTGACAGAACCAACAAGTAGAAATTTGTGAACCATTTTCTGTTGAAGGTTGTATTGGGCAACTCTATTCACATTTTCTCCTTCTCCAGAAGGAGTCTCAGAGCTACGAGGAACTGGCAGTGACAGAATGATAGAAGCTAGCTTCACTCCATGCTGTTGAAGAGCATACACAAAATTATTGATCAGTAATTATAACTATAACAAGAGAAACCAAACAAGGAAACATCCATCCACACACAAATCACCTTATCCCATATACGTCCCTTGACATTCTTCTGTCCCACTTCCATGTAAGATCCATCAGGACTCACCCAAAAGTCAGTAGTTCCTTCACACGGCACTCCTGCCCACTGCAAATTAACAAACAAAGTAACACTTTGATTTAACAGACTCAAAATCCCATGGCCATAATCAGTTATAGAATCAAAGTGCCCAAAACAGAAACCTTCAGTAATAAAAGCTCTTCTTTGTTAATCTCTCGACCATTCACAGTCACATTTGTCTTTCCACCGCTTGCATTTCTCTGCAAGTGACCTCCAACATCCAGCTGGTGGCTTATAATTTGACATGGCCGTTGACCTTCCTGTACAATCAAGCATACACCAGATATTGAGCTTTGTATGTAATTAAAACATCAAGGGTATGTTCATGAAGAGGTTAAGCTACACTCAGATTATATAAAGAGATTAAAAAATATATATATCTATACAGGTTTATTTTTCACCTTTCCCCAAAATCCAGATGCTTTATCATACCAATAGAAACCTGGTTTTAATCCTTTTGGTGGGTTTGGACAGCTGAGGAGTAACATGAGCTGATCCCAATCAAGAGGCTCTCCGTTCACACGAACATGCTCAGCTGGTATTTGATTTGCTTCACAAAACATTTCAGCATGCTTGAGCTGTTTCACTTCCAACTCAGACAACAAGCGTTTGAGCATCCTAGAAAACTTGCCAAGTGTTCCCCTCTTGTTCTCATCAATTCTGTAACCAATGCAAGTGACACATTTTCTCCCTTCAGGCATGGACCCCATTGCTTTAAGGACACAGTTGCGGCAATACTTTGCATTGCAAACAATGCAAACCTCCCTCTCAGTGAGACGATTCCCTTTAAGGCATCGATAGCACGTTCCTTTCTTCCCCTCTCTCACAGCATGTGGCCTCACAGGGTTCACAGGGATAGTACTACTTTTTCCACTCTGAGAATCAACAAACTCTTTATCATCTACCGTTTCATTTGACTCAGGATCACGAAAAGTAACAGCAGAAGGCCGTTTAACATGTCTTGGACTATGAGGTTCATCATTATGATCATCTTCTATGCATGAAAATACCTCAGAAGAAATAGAACGAAAGCTTGAAACCGATTCTGTTGTATCCAAATTGGTATTTTGTCTATCATCATCACCACCAGGAACTTCTAAATTCACATCAGAGTTTGATGATTCAAGATCAAGAGGCTCGGAATTCATAGACTGAACAAAAACTGTAGAAAGGTTGAGATTGGTAGCATTGGTTTTTCTGAAAGGTTGGATAACTGGGACAGAGAAATGATGAGGGGGAGAAGGAGCGACAGGAGCAACTGGGATTTGGTCAAGGCTGAATGGAGATGCTTCAGGGATGGAGTAACTCAAAGGAGGGCCTTTGTACTCTTCGGCAAAGGAGTACTCAAAGCTGTAATCACCACCATCATCGTGAACTGAAGGAACACGACCATGTCTCAGTTTTTTCAGAAGCGAAGCCATGCATGCAGGGTCAAGTTTCAATTTGAAAACCAACCGAAAAAAACACACTTTGACTCTAAACTCACCAACCCAATTCACTGCTTATGGTGTTTTCTTCAATCTTCATTGAGTTTTAATCTAAAGACTTGAAGGAAGAAATTAATTAGGTAATATCAATAATCAGATTAAAGAACAAGTATCCTGCGATAGTACGAAACTTGTCCGAGGTGACAGAAAAAGAAGGAAGGAAGGAATGAAAGAAGACAAGTGAAAAGGCAAAGTGGCTGAACGGAACAGTGTGTAGCGCAGGTTTTGGTAATCAAAGTGTTCGAAAAGTTTGAAGGGAAAAACCTAAGAAATGGACAAAACAACCATTGCTTGGAAACTTTCAAACTAAACGTGGGGAAAATTCTAATGCGCGTTTCAGTCATCCTTGACATAGTACACCTTACATAGTACGTATCAATTTCAATGAATAGTTGTTCTTCACGTTTGCATATGATTGCTTTTTTCTACGAAAATATTATTATTTGGAAAAGTTTAAAAAATCTCTTGGTTTTGTTTTGAATTATTTACACTCTTATGCTTGTTTTTTAATCACTTATCTCCTTGTAATTTTTTTCATCCAATTTTATTGTTAACACATGATCAGCTTCTATTAAATACAAAACACAATCAGCTCCTATTAAATACAAAACGCAATCAGCTCCTATTAAATACAAATCGCAATCAACTCTTATTAACTTGCTGATTTGCTTCATATGCATGGAATCTGCTTTTGTTTATGGAGGAGATTTGACATTTATTATCGGTTGCGAGATTTAATCGATTAACTTGAAGACTTAATCGATTAAATCTTCAACTCAATCATTTTTGCCAGTTTTGATCATTTAATCAATTAAATTTTCAAGTTAATCGATTAAAGAGGGACAGATTGGTAAATAATTTCGAATAAGGGACAGAATGATTATTAATTAATTAATGAAGGATAAAAGGATCAAAAAACCAACAAATAATACCAAATATATTGGAAATTTACAAAAAAAAAAAATTCTTATTTTTTCTTCCGTTTCTTTTAACTGTGATAGAAAAGACTAAAAATGAAAAATGAAAATAAAAATATAAGAAAAAATTGAACATATCAATAAAAAAAAAATAGTATGATGACAAAAAAATATCAAGAGTTAGATACTTACCGATTTTTTTATTTCTTTTGTGTCTCATTTTTCTTTTATTTTTTTATCTTCAGTCTATCTTCTTCTTTTTTATTCTTTTCTTTCATTATTGTTTGTTTTCGATATATTTGGTTTTTTTTATCCTTAATCTATTTTCTTCTTTTTGATTTAGACATATTTGTTCTTTTTTTCCTTCTATTATTTCTTTTTTGTTACTTTTTGTCTTATTTGTAAATGTTGTATGTAGGGATGTAAATGGACTAGGCCGGCCTACAGGAGCCTACGGCCTAGCCTATATTAGGTCAGACTTGGCCTATTATAAGTAGTAAAATAGAATAGATTTAGGCTTTTATAGAAACCTATTTAGAAAATAGGCCATAAGCTTTTTTGTACATGTCGGACTATAAACCTACAGGCCGATCTATATCATATTATTTATTTAAAATATAATAAATAAAATTATTATATAATAATTTTGAATAATAAAATAATATTATTTTAGTTATTGATTTAATTTTTGAATGTTTAATAGGTTTAAACAGGCTAACAGGCCTATGCCAAGGCTTTTATTTTTTGAATATAGGTCAGGCCAGACTTGTAATTTGGAGCCTATACAGGCTAATAGGCCAGACCATACCCAATATATTTTACACATGCTTGACCTATTTAAGTCAAAGCCTAGCCTAGCTCAGTCCATTTACACCCCTAGTTGTATGTTTCCATTATATTTGGCCTTTTTTTTAGTCATTATTCTATGGAGAAAGTGTGTATCATTTTGAAGGACACAAAATTGTGTCATTTTAAGTGAGAGAAAGAGATAAATCATGAGAGAGAATGGGTGGAAAAAGTTTTAAATGTGTGGGTCCCACTTCTTTGTGAGAGTTAAAGGATATAAGGTGTGTCGTTAAAATGACACACCTTTTTCCCTTATTCTATTCTCTTATTTTAAGAAGGGTAAAATAGATAAAGAAGTAAAGTTTCTAAAGGTGTTAAAAATAAACTTGAATGAAAAAATCATAAAGGAATAAATGATCAAAATAAACATAAGAGTGTAAGTGATTTTTTGAAAGCAAAATCATAGATGATTTTTTGAATTTTTCGTTATTATAATAGGATTTACATTTGTCATTTAACATGACACAACAAAGTTTCCTACACACACAACATTTTGTGGAGCCCACACTTTTTGAAGAAGAAAAAAAAAAAACTACGACACGCAAAACGAATCTCTATAACATTTTACAATCATTTTTCCTACAACATAACTCTAATAAAACCCTATTATAAATTATGTTAATTAAATAAATCATGTTCAATGATGAACAAAGAATGTCTAGATTGGGAGCTAATAATTGTATTTACAAATGTGGGCCTAAGAAGTGGTGATAGTGGATTGGTGGCCTCATGCCCTAGCCCACGACGACTTCCTTATAAGGAAGATGTAGCTCGGGTCCTGGATCTTCCCCGGAACAAGTTAATTTAAATACACATGTAATTTGTCTAAACAAAAAACAAACGCCAATTGAATTGGACTAATTCTTCTTAAAAATTAAAATATAAAAGATAACATTGTTTATTTAAAAACTAGTAAAAATATATATGAAAACAATATATGTGCGCAATCTTAGTTTTTTTTATATTTATAAAGAGACTTATGCAGAAATTTTGGGTTCTTACATTTGTATATCGATCTCTCAAGTTCGGACTTTGGAGATTTATTAAGAAGGAAAGCTGACTTTTTCGTCCGGGGTAGTTGTTGACTAAGGCTTGATGAGTCGCCAAATAAAAAGACCTTGACTTTTGAGTTTGCCCAACATGTCACTCACTTTGATGTTGAAGAAGGTCCACGTTTTTATGTTTTGCAGGTTGGTTGGTTGTGTGTCTGGCTAATATATTGATTGGTATGCACCTTAAATGGTGCATATGTTCCAGCAGCACATTTTTCTTCCATTAAAAAAATAATATATGGCTTAATTTTTTTTTTCTCTCCTTTATACATATAATACATTTTTTCTCTCTGATTTTGGAGCAAACTTTTGGTACCACGGTTGTAGGTACAACTTCCATTCAAATTTTGTCATTTGGACTATTTTTTCTTTTTTCTTTTTTATCTCACTTTCACATTCTCTCTCCATTTTTGATTGGTGCTCTCCACCAAAATAAGAGTACCACGGTTGTACCTTAGAAATTTCCTTGATTTTGATTGATTTGTCCCACTAAATAAATGATGCTCCTGGAAAACCTTAATAATTTCAATTGATATGCACCAATTGCCCTACCTTTTTAGAAGGAGAGCAGGCCCATGACATGCAAAGTCCAATCTCACATCAATATTACTTATCGATCATTATTCTACATAATTTGCATTTCCATATATACTAGTTCATTTTCCACAATAAGTTTGATTGGATTTATTTAAATTGTAAGTAGATATCATAGATATATATTAGTTGTGCAAAAAAAATTTCCTAACCGATAAAAGAAAAGTTTAACTATGGCAACATGGCTTGTATAATATTATTCTGAAAGTTTGTACGTCTAAAGGAATATTATATTTTCTAAATAATGCTAGTTATAGTTTGGGGGTGGGAGGTTAGATAAGCCTATGTAATCTGAAATGATATTATATTTTATTGATGGCATAATAATATTTTGTGGCTCATCTTTATTATCAAATCAAAGACTTTATGGTCTAGTAGAATGAGGATCATTGACGTTAAGGGGGCGTTTGGTTGAGGAGAAATTTTTTGAATACTAGGGAAATGTAATTGATAGAGAAATGGTTGGAAAGTGAGTTTGATAGAGAAATGTAAATAAAGTTGTTTGGTTGGATAAAATTTTGATGGAAAAATTATGTAACTTTTATGAAGTCTATGTTTGGGTGTAGGTAAAATATAGATGGAGAAAATAATTGATATTACGAAAATAACCTTATATTTAAAAAATTTGCAATCGCCCTTAACCCGTTAGCTTGTGTTGTTTGAAACGATGAACACCACTTGTGCATGAACACCACTTGGCATAGGGACTAAGTGCATGCTAGCCACCTATCCCACATGCACCACCTTGGCCAAAGTTGTTGACTATCTTTCTCCACTTCGAAGCTCAAAAAATTCGGCCAACACTCCCTCTCCTTTTCAACCGTAAGTCACCACACTCGTATCCCTCACAGCCGCAAGCTTAGTAGAGAAATATCACAACGAAAAAATTGTATTTCATTCTCTTCACCTCACCTACCTAATCCGCGAGCCTTGAGAGAGGAAGAAGCACCTAAGTATTTTCTTTTTCCCCTTAGTTCAGCCAAACCAACCACTACCTAGATTGCATGTCAGTTCCAGTTGCTTCATCATCTCCACCAAGTTCTATTGCTATTCCTTTCCCACTCAGCTGAGCGTTCATCAGCAAGGAGGTGAGGAGCTCATTGCATGTCAGTTCTATTGCCTCTGTTTTCGTCTCGCCAGAACAATATCAGAGGATATTGTGGTCTCATATGTTGTGGGCCCTATGTGGTTTAACTGGTTTCTTTAAAAAACCATCTTCTACAATGGATTCTAAACAGTGTGTTGAGATATATAGTCCCACATTGATTGTGTGGGCAACTAATATGGGAGCTCTCTTCAGAGCTCTGATACCATATTAAGAACCTTGAGGTCACCACCCCAAAAGCTAGCTCAAAGGGTGGGAGCACATTAGTTGCCCACACAATCAATGTGAGACTATATATCTCAACACAGTGTAGAAGCATAGAAAAACGGCACAAAAATGAGAATGATAGACATCTATCTTGCCTGGGTGTTCACCCAATTCACTGTCAACCAAACGCATGTTTTAAGGAATGCCAACTTCATTTGCATAGGATTATTTCAAAATCCACCCAACCAAACACCACCTAATTGTCTCCTGCACAACGTGTTCTTTTCTGCCCAAATGTGTCCATTAGCATAAAATGGGCTTGGCCTCGTTATTTCTAGTTACTTATGTACTGGTGGTCCTAAAAGACAACGGCACATTACATTTTAGGATGAGGGCTAGCCCAATACAATAACAAAAGGAATCCAAGCCTTCTTAACGCTCTAATTAATTAGCGAGGTATACTAATGATGAAAGACACTCTTTAGCATTTTTTATAATTTGTAATATTAATCACATAATAGATAACTAATATACTCATTAGTTATATAATTAATTAATTATTTTCTATAATATCTTTCTTAATTACCCACCTAATTAATATTTTGTCCAATATGTCTTTTGCTATTAAGAAAATTAGGAAACATAAAATAGTAGTTACTCTAAACTGTGTGCATAACTAATTGCTCTTTTTTTTTTTTTTGGGTTGTACAAACTCATTGTCCGTTTGTTGCTATTCTTAAACTTAACAAACAAACTTTTAGAGGCACTGATCATCCCATATTGAGTTGGGAGATTCTAATGATTTCTGAACTTTCAGTCACAGCAATAGTATTTTTTTTTTCTAATTAATTGGTTATTCCTCTTCAATCCATTGAACCTCATTTTTACATATGCAACTTTTCCACATTTTTTTGTGCTCCTTCTAGTCCATCTTAAAGAAGAGATATATTAAGTAAATGGCTGGTTGGCTATGATTAAGTAGCCAATCTTAAACTTAATGACTGCATTAATTAACAAGAACGTTGAGGGCTTTGAATATTGGAAAATGATGTTAGAGTTGACAATGTGGCACTCATCTATTATCCTTTGCCATAGATTCTTTATCGCCGAGAAAAAGCAGAACAATAAAGTATCTGCTGCTGCTTCTTTATTCAATAATTGATTTCAAACATATCTCTGTCCCTCATGGCATCAACCTATTTTCCTTTTTTTGTGTTCCGCCACACATTAACCATAAAAAACAATTTATTTATTTATTTATTTTTTTGTTTAGAAAAACATTCAGCAGACATTCAAATTGTCGCCTACCATTCAAATCGTCAGCTCCATTTTTAGGTTTTTCCTGTGATAAAAAAAATTCTATTGCTTTATAACATTGCATGTATATTATCTCAATTATATTATTAAAAATATAGTTACAACAGACGACGATAATAATCCATATATATAAATCAATACATAATAATGCAAAATAAAAAAATATTTCAATAACAGTCCCCAGAAATAAAGCACAATATCTGTGTCGTTTTTCCCATATTAAAGCAACTAGCGATTCATAGTTAGCTTATGCTGACATAAAGCTAGTACTTTCACGATCTGTTTGTGAATGCTCGATAGTATTATAATAATTGTTATGTACCATCTGATTGCTAAATAATATGCCACTTGATTACTTGAATGTCAACCTGAGATTGTTCAAAGAGCATCACCTTCATGTTATTAATATTACTGATTATAAACTCTATGCATGTTATTTTCATTAAAAGATTGGAGTTTCATATACAATTTAGTTTTCTAAAAAAAATTACGAAACACGAAATAGTAATTACTCTAAATCTTGTACATAAAATGTTGTGACCAACAAATGAGCTTGCCCAAATTACAAACAACGTAAAAAGTAAAAACGCCACAACTAGGAAGGTAATTATTATTAAGGTGACATATATTACAAGCTAGAAAACCATATTTACAAACCCTAATCGATGCCACTGACCCTAAACAAACAAACAACTGCAACAAGTGGCAAAGCCTAACATTGACAGTTCCTTTGATCACGACTATACCTTAGAAAACCATAATAAAGATATAATTTAAGGTAAGCTTTCAAATTTGAAAAATTAAAACAAAGAATGTCCTCTTACTCTATTGCCCATATTTTGCAAAATGAAAACGAAGGCTTGTCAGAATCTGATCTGTAAAATGTCCTGTGTGACGAATCAGGCCACCTTTAGTAGTCCCTCCTATTTAGGGCACGAAGATGTATCTTTCCACGTCTCACTCTACCGCAGAAGCAACCAAATTATATTCAAGTGCTCCCTCTTTGCAGGGTAATGAACTGCTCCATCGCTTTTACTTCAGGCCCAAGGCACACCCTCCTGTCGCTGTTCACTCCAACCATCCAAATTCCATGGACTGGCATGACCATATCACATCCATTCAAACTTGCCTTTACTTTTTTACAAGTTTTTTTTTTTTCTTTTTTTTTTAGATAAACCACATGTATTCTTCACTTCACCGAGAGGCAATTCTGTTCGGAGCGAGTTTATAATTAAAGCTTTAAACATTTTTCAAATATAGTACGTACTGAGAGAATTTAACACACTCAGCTCTCACGCCGCGCCAATCTCAGGCGCCAACTCAACTAATTACATGCAATACACCTTTGCAAGGAATTAATACACATAATTAAATTATGTGGATGAATGAACCCTAGAAAAAATTAAAATAAAATCTTAATTAATTTCTACTTTTGCAACTTCCACCTGTTCGTGTTTTGGTAGTCACCACCAATGCCATTGTTATTGCTATTGCCATTGCCATTGCTAATAGGCGACGAGTAACTCAATCCTGCGGTGGAGGAATCATAGGTAGCACATCCATGTCTCGGGGTTGCCCAGTCCTGAAACAATCTCAAATCTGGCGCGTACTCTGACACGCGCCACACCTTCACTGACTTGTCCAAGCTCCCGGTGTAAACTACCCACCGTGGATCGCTCTTCTCACGGCGACTCTCCGCTTGTTGTTGTTGTCGTTGTTTGGCTTCTTCTTCCTCGACGGCGATGCATTTCACGGGACCAGTGTGGCCGGTCAAAACCGAAAGACACGTGTGGACCCCACGCTCGTCGCGCTTCCACACGCAAACATTCTTATCGGCGGAGCCGCTGAACACTAGGTTCCCGGCCGCCGCGAGGCAGAGGACGGCGAGCTTGTGCCCCCTCAGAACGCCTCCGTGAGATAGGCTTCCTTTCGGGTCACGCTCCCAGTAGTTCACCAACCCGTCGGAGGAACCGCAATAAACCACCGTGTTCAAACGGTTAACCGCAAGCGCCGTCACGGCGTTCTCCTGCTTCAGCAGAATCCTATCCAACACGTGCTTCGTTTTCTTCACTTTCCCCGCGTGTTCCCTCTTCCACATCTTCACCGTCCCATCCGCGGAACCAGTTAACACGTAGCCTTGGAATGCCGCAACAACCGCGTTGACTGCATCATCGTGAGCGTTGACCGACTCCAAGCATTTCGAATCCGAAACGCGCCAAACCTTTAACGTTTTATCCCACGAACCCGAATACAACAACCCTTCTTCTTCATCAAGGCTCAGACTCGAAACGGCATCGAAATGCTTGATCTTCACCGCGTTTCGTTGTCGCCGGATTTCAACGTAGTTCTTTGGATTCATTGAACACTTGACATAGTCTTTGAAAGTTGGCAAGCTCCCAACGCGTTTGTGAGTGCTACCATTTTTGGAAGAAACTTTCCAAACTCTTATCTTTCCATCTTGATGACCGGTGAAGATTCTCTCGCCGGAGATAACAATGGTTTTGACCAAGCCACTGCTTGATTTGAAACCCGTATAGTCCTTGAGATTCTTCCACACCCTTATGTTCTTGCCATCGGAACCCGTGTACAACAAGTCACCGGAAACCGCCAAGGAATATATGTGACCCTCTTCGCGAACGAGTGAACCGACGAGTCCAGTTTGCGGGAAGTCGTAGTTGTTATCGTCGTCGTTTTGGAAGAGATTGATTCCAGGTGATTGGAATAACCATGGGGATTTGTTATAAGGTGATGAGGTTTGGTTCCACGGTGATAACAAGTAAGGGGAGGCACTGTTGCTGCTCGTGGTGGGTGTGCTGCTGCTGTCGGCGTAGTTCCGGGGGCTGGAGGCGGAGGCGGAACCGTTGCTGAGGCGGTTCTCTTCGTCGACGTCATGGTTGGTGGCGTAAAATTTCAACGTAGGATCGGATTGCAAGAAGGCTCCTAATTTGGGTCTGTGTAAGGTATTTCGTTCCACTAACATGGTGCCACCTTTTGCGTTAGTCATCCAAGAAAAACGAAACAGAAAAACTGATTTTTTGTGTTTCGGAGAATACGAAGGTTTGGTTTGAAAACAGAGAAAAGAAAATGAAGCTTAATTGAGGTTAAGGTTTGTGTTTGTGTTTGTGTGGCGGAATGGAAAGATGGGAGAGAGGTTCGGGGATGCGTATTTATAATGTTTAAATATAGCGAGAGGTTGAGAAATGTTGCAGTGAGTGGACGACACGTGGTGGTGCTATCGGGAAACCGGATGTGCCGGTAATTAGTGTGGAAGCTGAAAATGGTTTATGATTATTTTGTGTGGGAGAAAAGAAGGATAAGCTACGTAAGGATTACTGCTTGAGTACGTTTTCTTCTATTCCTATACGTGAGAATGCGATTTGTGAATTTAGATTGCTATGTTTGACCTTTCAACTTTTCTATATTGGGTAATCTTGACCTTCTAACTCGTCAAAATAGCACTTTTCAGATGATGACACGACGACGTTTAACGCGCCTCGTCATTTATAGCGTCATCAGCGACATGCTACGTGGCCTATGGTGGACGATTTGATTGGAAGTTGGTTACCAATGATTCTATTCTATCATCCATTTTATTACTTGGGAATTGGGATGGTTGTTTTGTTAGAGAATACGAGATATCGAGTTCATGCTTAATAATGATTAAATATTTTCTGTAGTCGGAGGGAAAAATCCTTTTAGAAACATAAAAAGTATTGAATATTTTCATTACTTAATAATTAGAAGAATTGTTAAAAAGAAATTGATTATGAAAATCAAGAATTAATTATTCTTAATGCCTTATTTCGTTATGTAATTAAGACAATAAAGATATCTTGCGTAGTTAATTATAGGAAACATATATCAATATTGGAGTTTTTTTAATATTTATTGGCAAATTAATGGACATGCATGAAATATTTTTGAATATTGATTAATTAATGGTAGTAACCATTACTTATCTCAAGAGTGAAGATTTACCCGTTTGATATTTAACGCCACCAGTTTTGTAATCAGTTTTCTTGTTCTTTCAAACCCTTGACTTTTTATTGCAGCATCAACTTATCATGGGATGCAAAATTTCAAGTGCAACGTACACAGACCTCTCTAACAACGTTCTTTTTTCAAATTCAAACCAGTGATCACCTAACTCTACAATGAAGGTAGGTTAATGTTGAAGAGGTTTGATGAATTTAATATTGTTGAGTTCATATATAAGTACTGCTACATCTCTTTCTTTCCTCTGTTTCCAAAAAAATGTACTGCTACATCTCTTAGATAAAACCTGCTTTACATCCTTCCAAAGACTATGCTTAGTATCATTTTTCCTGTTTAATTTGAAATTAAATTCTTGCATTAATCTAACCAAAATATAAAGCAATCAAGCATATTACATATATATGGGAAGCATTAGTTTGATTTATATATATCAGTTTAATTTATAATAACATAAGCTATCCAGTAAAATGGGATAATGGGAACATGCAAATGGGATAATGGTTTGAATATATCATCTCAAATAGAGAGAAGCATAAAATCATACGTAAAATATGATCTTAAGTATCTCTGGACACAGTTTAATTGGTACTTAGTGATGCAAATAATTTTGTCATTAACAAATGTAGTTGGATATAGACTCAGCGTCTGACTAAAACTCTTTTTATTTTAATATATACAAAATTAAATATTATTAAATGGGTAAAAGAATATCATATTTTAGATAATTATTATTAATTATAACTTCCTAATATGTGACAAAATCTTATAGTTGAATAATATTGTAAAAAAGGTTTAAAAATCAAAATTACATATGAAGAACTATGATAAATGACGTCTACATATGAATTATAATACTTTTCAAATATCTAAACAAATAGCACCATATATATGATAAGATTCATCATGTTCAGTCGGTCAAATTGAATTCCCATCGTCTTAGGAATTATGCAACGGCACAGCCGGCCATGAGCATAATATTAGGACTTTAATTAGGAGTGCAAAAACTGAATTCCTTGCGCGAATTGCCTATTATCCAAAAACATGCATAGTTGGGTTTTCTTACAAATTGGGAATTTTTCAACATGACCAAACAAAGCCAAAAACTTATATAGCTGCCGAATCATAAAATAGTTTGAACTATATTGCCTTTTACGGCACCATATCCAAAGCTAGCCAAACCAAAACAGCCGCGGTTTCATGACCTTGTTTTTTGAGCTTGCTTAATGGCATAATGTCAGCGCTCTAAATAAGCAGCTTTTATATGTCTACGTCTTTACTATTGCTATCAAAGTTCAAAGGTTGATTTATCCCAAAAAAAATAAAATTAAAATTAAAAGTTCAAACGTTGGTTTGGGGACCACCTTAACTCTTCGTGTGAAGAGGGCCTTGCCCAGATCTAGTACCTGGCTAAAGGTCTTCTTTAGTTGTCTTTCCCCTTACATACCAGGAAAAGCTTTGAATGGTAGTAAAAAAGAAACGTTATATATAATGTAGATTTGAAACTTGGTTGAATACGTAGTTATAGATCTTGGTTAATGGATAGTTGTTGTACAAGTAGATCTTTACATGAATTTAAAGGGGTGTGTTATATATATGCAGCATTTATTTCGTTAATTGGCCAAGATTCATAATCTCCTTTAAATTATCTCAAAATCTCTTAGTTATAGACAATGAGAATATTTGATATTTTTCCATTTTGAGGAGTTAAATATGAGTTAGCCAATAGGGATTTTGTTACGGACCTTGAGGTCACCACCCCAAGGCTTTATAAACTCCACATTAGCTAGCTTTTGGGGTATCCAAAGCTTTATAAACTCCACATTAGTTGCATGAGCAATCAATATGGGACTCGTAACATTGCCACCCCTTTAAGGACCGACGTTCACGGCGGCTTTCACTCTATCGACACTGACCCGGTGGTAGCCCTTTCTCTTTTGGTGGCTTCACTCATCTATCAGTATTCAGTGCCCAAAGACACCTTAATCCAGCCTATAGGTAGCCCTTTCCGTAGTCTCAACTCTCAATGAAAGCACCAATTGTTACGCTACCACCTCAAAAGCTAGCTCAAAAGATTAGAGTGCACAAGGTCTTATAAACTCCACATTAATTGTATGGGCAACTAATATGATACTCGTAATATATTTGAAGCTAATTAAAGGGACGATTTATATGTACCAAAAAAAAAAAAAAAGGGACGATTTATATCACAATGCATAAGCCTGACGTATGTGAGGGGATCAGAAGTGCGACCGTAACATGCAACACAAAATTGCCCCAAGATACGTTACGTATATGGGTGCATGCGGACATCACAACATTATTAATTATTTATTTATTAAAAAAAACTATTTCAGATTCAGGTGTTGATCGACACCTGGCTGCTTCATAGAGATCAATCATTCAAACATTTTGAGTTTTGTTTTCCAATTTATAAATGGAACGAAAATATATTATTTTGGAAATTGAATATTATATAGGGAGATGTTATCCTATCCTTTGTTAAATATTTTTCAGGATTAGCATTAATTAAGCGTTTAATTTTTCACATATCGCGCATATATTAAAATAGACAAAATTTATGGTGAGATACCAATTTTTTTTTCTTAAAAAAAATTTCTAGGCGTCATCCAAAATCTCTGGGTGTCACCCAAAATCTACAGTATCTAATTATAATATATATTTGTAATGGATATTGAATAATATTCATGGCTTTAAAGTAAAGATACGGTGGAAAAAGAACCGATTTCGCATAAATTTTCTTTGCAACCTGTATTGAATTTAATGTGTAGAGATTATTCTATTGCTGGTAGGTAAAGGTATTTTTATTGTTGCAGCTTTCTTCAAAATGTGAGCAAACCTTTTTACCTACATTTTGACTTTGAGCCGTTAGCATGGTCTAAGAGCGACATATGTAACTTCAACGGGTGTGATAATCAATATAGGGGTGTTTTAGACAGCAATAGTATAAATTAAGATTGAACAAGCTGTCTCAAGTGTAGTGTGTATCAATTGGGGATATTATTAGGGGTGATTCAAATTGCGATGACCGAACTGAAAAATCGATAACCGAATAAATAAAAAATTGAAAAATTAAAAATCGAAAAAAAATCACAAATTTTAATTGGATTGGATCAGTTTTCGGATGAGTTGATGAAAATCGATCCAATATATTAATTTTTCTCTATCTACTTGAGTTTTTCCCCAATCATAGCCCAAAATTTTCTAAACCCAAAACCTGTTAACCCATCAACTATACACCTAAGAAAAAAACTAATCACATCTCATCAATAAAATTTCATCTGTGTAGAGTTTCATATCTCATTACCCAAAAAAAAACTATATTATTGTTTACTGGTGCTTTTGTATTTCAATTTTTTTTTTTTACAAAGCCAATATATATAAAAGATGTTATTAGCATAATAATCATGAAACAAAGTTTAGGATTTTCAAAAAACCGATCCAATCCAAACCGAAAAAAATTGAATTGGATCGGATCAGATTTGATAAAAAATCCAAAACGAATGGATGATTAAATGATCAAATCGAAGGTATTGGATCAGATGATTTTTGCTTCCAAAATCGATCCAATCCAGACCGCGACACCCCTAGATAGTATTAGTGGCTACAATGGCTCTTTAAGTTAACATAGTAATGGTTAATACAATAGTGATATTGTGTCTCTACATGATGGTGAAGAGGAGGTATTTATAGGTTCCAAATCAGTGGGGGAAGAGAGTCGAGTCAACTATTATGGGAAAAAGTCAAGGTCGTCTGTCCTTGCAGAGGCAAGGCCTTTGCAGCTGCCAGCAGCCGCCGTGCAAGGAAGCATGTGAAGGGAGAGTTCCCAGTAGGTTATTTTGAGTACCTGAAACGGAAAAAGGTTTTTTTTTTTGGGGGGGGGGGGGGGTTCCCAACGTAAGACATTTTGGTATCTTACGTTGGAAAGTCCACTACATGGGAGCATGGATAATAGCGCTGGCACAACAGGGTTGGTAGGACTGAGGTAGAATAAACCCTTTATATTGGATCGGCCTTATTGGGCCAACAAATTGGGCCGGCCAGAACACACTTCAATACACATTATTGTAACTATGTTAGGAATTGGGAGCCTTCATGCGTG